CCCATGTTCATCGCAGCACTATTTACAATAGCCAAAAGATGGAAACAACCTAGGTGTCCATCAACTGAGGAATGGATAACCAAACTATGGTACATACACAAAATGGAATACTATGCAATGCTAAAGAATAATGTATAATCTGCAAAACACCACATAATGTGGATGAACTTGGAGGACATTATGCTGAGTGAAACAAGTCAATCACAAAAGGACAAATATTGTATTAGTCCATTATCAAAAAATCAAGGAAAGGTTTATCTGTGGAAGGAAATTTTCTTTATTGGTTACCAGGGGGAGGAGAAGAGGGGAGGGAACACTGTTAGATAGGTAGAGATAATTATTGATTTGGGTGAAGAGAAGGGCAATGTACCAAATGTGAGTGATGAATATGGTGTCATTGAGGAAGAGAAAGACACAGAGAGGTACCTGGGAGGTACAGACAACAAAGAGGAACCTTTTTGCTCATACAGTACTGCATTGTCAATGAAGGCAAACATGGGTATACTGGTGGATAGATGGGTGGGCAGGCTGAACTAGTAAGTATGTCTATGAAGTGGGGAGTGTACCCAAGACCAAGTATAGGGTTGGCAGGTATGGTCTTATAAGTTTATTTGTATGATCTGAATTCCCAGGTGTATAATAGAGCTGACAAGGGGCAAGGCTGTAGTCACTTCTTGGTCACAGACAGCTACCCAGAGGCACCAAGTAGTTGAACCTGTGGGCTTGGGACCATAGTCACAGGGGACATCAAGCTCAATTGGCATAGCATACTACACAAAACATTGTTCCACCTTCTACTTCGATGAGTAGCAACTGGGATCATAAAAGCTTGCAAGCTGCCATCTAGATACAATGAGTCTCCCCTCATACGGAGCAAAGAAGAATGAAGAAAACCAAAATTCATGGAAACAATTAGTCCTAGCAACTGGTACACCATCCGATCTGCAGCATATACAACTGTGAGACCCGAAGAACTAGATGGTGCCCAGCTACCACTGTCATCCACTTGGAAGGGGATCTATGTAGAAGATACTGGATAAAGAGGGAGAACAATGTGGAACAAAACTCAAAATCATTTGGAGAAAAAAAAAAGGGGGGACCAGGTTTGCTGGTCTGATAGAGCCTAGTGGAACCACAGAGACTATGGCCCCCAGCTGCCCTTCAGATCTAGAATTGAAGCCACACCTGTGATTTCCAGCCAAACAAAAGACAGGCATATGAGTTGAACATTTACCTGAGGTAGATACACTCCTTGGAGAGAACAATCATGGGAGAAAGAAGGGCTGCTTATTCACAGGAGGACAGCTCAGGGGGCAGGAGTGCATGGAGGGATAGACACAGGGAAGAGGTAACTATTGGAAGGAAGTGAGAGGGGAGCTGTTGCATTGTGGTAAATTGTGGTCAATGTCATGAGACAAAGTGTATGTGAACTGCTGTATGGAAAGTGAATTTGCTCTGTAAATTTTCACCCAAATCACAATTTAAAAAAAGAAAAAGAAAAAAGATGGATCTTGGAAAATGACAATGGATTATTGTAAACTTAATCAAGTGGTAACTCCAATTGCAGCTGCTATTCCAGATGTAGTTTCATTGCTTGAGAGAATTAATACATCTCTTGGTAACTGGTATGCAGCTATTGATCTGACCAATGCCTTTTTCTCAATACCAATTTAGAAGGATCATCAGAGAAGCAGCTTGCCTTCAGCTGGCAAGACTAACAATACATTTTCATCATAGTACCTCAAGGTATATCAAATCTCCAGTACTCATAATTTAGTCCACAGGGAACTTGATCACCTTTCCCTTCCACAAGATATCACACTGATCTACTACACTGATGACATTATGCTAATTGGATCTAGTAAGGAAGAAGTATCGATAACTCTAGACTTATTGGTGAGATAGCTGCATGCTAGAAGATGGGAATATAACCTGACAATAATCCAGGTGCCATCCTCCTCAGTGAAATTTCTAGGGATCCAGTGGTGTGGGGGCATGTTCAGATATTCCTATAAAAGTAGAGGATAGTTATTGCATCTGGCCCCTCAACTAAAAAAGAGGCACAACATCTGGTGGGCCTCTTTGGATTTTGGAGGCAACATATCCCTCATTTGGGTATGCTACTCTGGCCTACTTATCAAGTGACCCAAAAAGCTGCTAGTTTTGAGTGGGGCCCAGAACAACACACCACTCTGCAGGAAGTTCAGGCTGCTGTGCAAATTGCTCTGCCACTTAGGTCATATGATCTAGCTGATCCACTGGTGATTGAAGTGTCAGTGGTAGATAGAGTTGTTGTTTGAGTCTTTGGTAGGCACTTACTGGTGAATCAAAAGGACCTCTGGTAATGTAGTATTTAAGGCATTTGGCTGCTAAGCCAAATTTTTGTGTTTCAAATCCACCAGCTGCTCCATGAAAAAAAAAGATGAGGCAGTCTGCTTCTATAAAGATTTACAGCCTTGGAAACCCAGTGGGAGTAACTATGAGTTGGAATTGACTCAAAGGCACTGAGTTTGGTTTCTTTTTGGTTAATTGGTGAATCACAGTGCCAACCCCTAAGATTCTGGAGCATAACCCTGCCATCCTCTGCACATAACTATTCGCCTTTTGAGAAACAGTTTTTGGCTTATTACTGGGCCTTAGTAAAGACTGAAAGAGTAACCATGGGCCACCAATAACTGTGTGGTCTGAGCTGGCCATCATGAACTGGCTGTTGTCTGACACACAGAATCATAAAGTTGGACATGAAGAGCAGCACTCCATCATTAAACTGTAGCAGTATATAAGAAATTGGGCTCAAGCAGGACCTGAAGTCAAAAGTAAGTTACATGAGGATGTGATCCAAATGCCTAAGGTCTCTACTCCAGTCACATTACCTTCCCTCTCCCATTCTGCACCTATGGTCTCATGGGGAGTTCCTTATGATCAGTTGACTGAGGAAGGGAGAATTTGTGCCTGGTTTATACATGGTTCTGCATGATATGCAGGCACCACTTGAAAGTGGAGAGCAGTATCAGTACAGCCCCTTTCTGGGACTTCCCTGAAGGACAGTGGTGAAAGGACATCTTCCAATGGGCAGAGCTTTGAGCAATGAATCTGGGTATTCACTTTGGTTGGGAGGAGAAATGGCCAGATGTATGACTGTATACGGATTCATGGGCTGTGGTCAATGGTTTGGTTGAATGGTCAGAGACTTAGAAGGAACATGATTGGAAAAGAGGTATATGAATAGTACTTTCTGAATGGACCGAAGAAATTAAGATATTTGTGTCTCATGTGAATGCTCAACCTACAAGGGTGACCTTGGTAGAGAAGGATTCTAACAACCAAGGGGGTAGGAGAACATGTCCTGTGGCAACTAGTCCTTCTTCCTCATCTATTCCAGTAATTGCCTAGAAGTAAACAAAGTGGCCATGGTGGCAGTGATGGGAGTCATGCATGGGCTCAGCAACACAGCTACAGTCACTGCTGAGTGCCCAATCTGCCAGCAGCAGAGAGCAACAATGAATCCATGACATGGAACCATTCCTCAGGAGATCAGCCAGCAACCTGGTAGCAGGCTGATTATATCAGACTACTTCCTTCATGGAAAGAACAGTATTTTGCTCTTACTGGAATAGACATTTACTCTGAATACTTACTCTGAATTTTCCCTTACTGGATGCCATACCAAAACTATCATCTATGGACTTCCAGAATGCTTTATCCACCATCATAGTATCCCACACAGCAATGACTTGGATCAAGTGACTAATTTCACAGTACATGAAGTACAGCAATGAGCCTATGCTTATGGAATTTACTGGTCTTATCACGTAAGAGGCACAGGATCCAGGTAAGGGGAGGGAGACAGGGCCCATATCCAGAGGCAGGATGCAGGGGAAGAGCCAGGGACGAGACAGAGCCGTAGGATTCAGGCAAGGGGAGGGCAGAGAGGTTTCGAACAGCTAAGGGAGGAAAAACTTGTCTGCCAATTTGTTGTACTATTGTGGCTTGCATGTTGTTGCAGTGAGGCTTGAGGCTGTGCCACTGGTGTTTCAAAAGCCAGCAGGGTTGTACATGGTGCACAGGTTTCAATGCAGCTTACAGACTGAGAAAGACTAGGAAGAAGGAAGAAGCCATCCACTTCTCAAAGAATTGGCCAGGGAGAACCTTATGAATAGCAGAGAACACTGTCTGATACATTACTGCACAACTTTATGAATAACCCTGAAACACTGTCCGATATAGTGCAGGAAGACGAGCCCCTTAGGTAAGAAGGCACTCAAAATATGACTGAGAAAGAGCTGTATCGTCAGAATAGAATCAACCTTAATGATGAGGATAAAGTAAAGCTTTTGGGACCCCCATAAGCTGACGTGGCATGACTTAAATTGAGGAGAAACAGCTACAAACATCTATTAATAACTGGAACATGGAATATGTGAAGTTTGAATCTAGGAAAATTGGAAGTTGTCAAAAATGAAATGGAACACACAAAGAGTGATATCCTAGGCATTAATGAGCTGCGACGGACTGGTTTTGGCCATTTTGAACCAGACTACCATATGATCTACTGTGCTCAGAAAGACAGTTTGAAGAGGAATGGTGTGGCATTCATCATCACAAAGGATGTTTCAAGATCTATCCTGAAGTACAATGCTGTCAGTGGTAGGATAATATCCATATGCCTACAAGGAAGATCAGTTAATACTATGATTATTCAAATTTATGCACCAACAACCAAAGCCAAAGATGAGGAAATTGAAGATTTTTGTCAACTTCTGCATCTGAAATTGACCAAACACGCAATCAAAATGTGTTCATTATCACTGGTGACTGGAAAACAAAAGTTGGAAACAAAGAAAGATTAGCAGTAGTTGGAAAATTTGGACTTGGTGACAGAAATAACACTGGAGACCACGTGATAGAATTTTGGAAGACCTACAATTTATTCATTGCAAATACCTTTTTTGAACAACACAAACAGCAGCTCTACACATGGACTTCAACAGATAGAGTACAAAGGAATCAGACTGACTACTTCTGTGGCAAGAGGTGATGGAAAAGCTAAAAATCTTTAGCCAAAACAAGACCAAGAGTTGATTTTGAAGCAGACCATCAACCACTCATATACAAGTTCAACTTGAAGCTTAAGACAATTAAAACAAGTCCAACAGAGCCAAAATATGATGTTTAATATATCTCTCCTGAATTTAGAGACCATCTAAAGAATAAATTTGATGCACTGAACACCAATGACAGAAAACCAGAAGAATTATGAGATGACACAAAGAACATCATCCATGAAGAAAGCAAGAGGTCAATAAAAATATGATAAAAAAGAAAAAAAATGGATGTTGGAAGAGACTCTGAAACTTGCCTTTGAGCAGAGAGTAGCTAAAGCACATGGAAGAAATGACAAAATAAAAGAGCTGAACAGAAGATTTCAAAGAGCAGGTTGAGAAGGCAAAGCCAATTACTATAATGAAATGTGCAAAGACTTGGAGTCAGAAAACCAAAAGGGAAGAACACACTCGGCATTTTTCAAGCTGAAAGAACTGAGGAAAAAATTTAAGGCTTGAGTTGCAATACTGAAAGATTCTATGGGCAAAATATTGAATGATGCAGGAAGCATGAAAGAAGATGGAAGGAATACATGAAGTCACTGTACCAAAAATACCTGGTCAATGTTCATCCATTTCAGGAGGTGGCATTTGATCAAGAACCAATGCTATTGAAGGAAGAAATTGAAACTGCACTGAAGAAAATGGCAAAGAACAAGGCACCAGGAATTGACAGAATACCCAATGAGATGTTTCAACAAATGGATGTCCCACTGGAGGCAATCACTTGGTTAGGCCAAGAGATTTGGAAGACAGTTACCTGGCCAACTGACTGGAAGAGAGCAATACTTGTACCCATTCCAAGGAAAGGTGATCCCATGGAATGTGCAAATTTCAAACAATATCATTAATATCACATGCAAGTAAAATTTTACTGAAGATGATTCAAAAACAATTGCGGCAGTATATTAACAGAGAACTTCCAAAAATTCAAGCTGGATTCAGAAGAGGACGTAGAACAAGAGATATCATTGCTGATGTCAGATGGATCTAGTGTCAAAGCAAAGAATATCAGAAAGATGTTTACTTATGTTTTATTGACTATGCGGAAGCATTCGGTTGTGTGGATCATAGGAAATTATGGGTAACATTGAGAAGAATGGGAATTCCAGAACACTTAATTGTACTCTTGAGGAACCTGGACATAGACCAGGAGGCTGTCATTCAAACAGAACAAGGAGACATTGCATGGTTTGAAATCAAGAAGGGAGTATGTCAGGGTTGTGTCCTTTCATAATACTTGTTCAATCTGTATGCTGAGCAAATAATCTGAGAAGCTGGACTACATGAAGAAGAACGTGGCCTCAAGATTGGAGGAAGAATTGTTAACAACCTGCAGTACACTGATGACACAACTTTGCTTGCTGAAACTGAGGATGACTTGAAGCGCTTACTGATAAAGATTGAAGTATACAGTCTGCAATATGAATTACATCTCACAACTGGACCAATAAGCAGCATCATGATAAATCGAGAAAAGACTGATGTTGTCAGAGACTTCACATTGCTTGGTTCTACAATCAATGCCAATGGAAGCAGTCAGGACATCAGACGACATATGTTGTTGTTGTTGTTATGTGCCGTCAAGCCAGATCTGACTCATAGCAGCTCCTCCTTGGGTTTTCGAGGCAGTATCACTATGGAAGTAGATTGCCCCATCTTCCTTCTGTGGAGTGGCTGGTGGGTTTGAACCACCAGCCTTCTGGTTAGCAGTCAAGTGCCTTAGGCACTATGCTACCAGAGATGAAGTATAGCACTGGGCAAGTCGGCTGCAAAGGATGTCTTTCAAGTATTGAGGAGCAAAAATGTCTCCTTGAGGACTAAGGTGCGTCTGACACAAGCCATATTTCCAATCACCTCATATGCATGTGAGAGCTGGACAATGAATAAGGAAGACCAAAGAAACATTGATGCTTTTGAGTTGTGGTGCTGGCAAAGACATCTGGAGTAGCTTTAAGCTCAGCCTCATACGGACCAGCATTGTGCCGATCCTTCTAAAAGAAGAAATTATTAAAGCACCACGTTATGTTGGATCACCTTTCTTTGTAATGGCCACAAATATTGATCTCTTCCAGGTGGTTGGCCAGGTAGCTGTTTTCCCAAGTTCCTTGGCATAAACAAATAAGCATCTCCAGTACTGCATCCATTTGTTGACATCTCAATGGGTATTCCATCAATTCCTGGAGTTTTGTTTTTTGCCAATTTCTTCAGTGCAGCTTAGACTCCTTCCTTCAATACTGTTGGTTCTTGATTATATGCTAGCTCCTGAAATGGCTGAAAATCAAGCAATTCTTTTTGGTACAGTGATTCTGCATATTCCTTTCATCTTTTTTTCATGCTTCCTGCATCATTCAATTTTTCTTTTTGCCCATAGTACCCCTCAATATTGCAACTCAAGGCTTGGATTTTTTTAACTTTCAGCTTGAGAAATGAAAAGCATGTTGTTCTTTTTTGATTTTCAAACTCCAGGTCTTTTGCACATTTCATTATGGTACTTTACTTTGCCTTCTCAAGCTGCCCTTTGAAATTTTTTGTTCAGATTGTTTACTTTATCATTTCTTCCATTCCCTTTAGCTACTCTCCTTTCAAGAGTAAGGCTGACTCTCTTCTGACATCCTTTTTTTTTTCTTCCCTGTCTATTTAATGACATTTTGCTTTCTTTATGTATGATGTTCTTGATGTCATCCCACACTCTTCTGGTCACTGGTGTTTAATGCATCAAATATATTCTTCATATGCCCTCTAAATTCACGTGGGATATAGTCAAGATTTTATTTTGACTCTTGTGGAATTTTTAAAATTTTCTGCAGCTTCAACTTGAATTAGCATATGAGTAATTTATGTTCAGTTCCATAGTTGGACCCTGGCTTTGTTCTGAATGAAGATATTGATTTCACTATATTCTGTCTAGTGAGGTTCACATGTATTGTTGCTGTTTATGTTATTCAATAAAAGTATTTGCAATGAATAAGTCATTGGCCTTGCAAAATTCCATCATGTGGTATCTATTGTTATTTCTATAACCAATGCCATATTTTCTATCGATAGTTTTTCTTTGTTTCCAACTTTTGTGTTGCAATCACCAGT